GGAGGGTGGGTGGGTGGGTGGGAAGAGTTCAACCGAAGAACTTGTATGCATATATGCATAACCCGTGGACGCAGACAATAGGGTGGTGAAGGCCTGGGGCATGGGGCAAGCTAGAAGAGGTCAATGGGGGAGACAGGGGGACATATGTAATACTTTCAACAATAAAGATTAAAAAAATCAATGGAAAAATATCCTTGGGTGAGGATGAGTAACAAAAACAATTTTAAGAAACAAGCCACAGATTGGGAGATAATACTTTCAAAGCATATATCTGATAAAAGGCTTCTATTCAGAGCATATAAATAACTTTTACTCAGTAAGACAAATAATCCAATTAATAAATGGAAAAATATTAGAACAGATACTCCACCAAAAATGACATATAAAAGACAAATATGCACATGAAATGATGCACAGATTCATTAGTTATTAGGAAAATGAAAATTAATACAATGAGAAAACATGGCACCCACTAGAATGGCTAAAAGTAAAACGACCAACAATACCAAGTACAGTGAAGGATGGGGAGCAACTAGAACTCTCATATATTGCTGGCAGAAATGCAAAATAGTATACCCACTTTGGAAAAGTCTGGCAGTTTCTTTTATAAGTTAAATACATGTTACATTGTAACCCACTCCAAAGCAACCCCATTTCTAAGTAATTTACCCAAGAGAAATGAAAACAGATGTCTATGTGAAGGCTAGTATGTACATATTTATAGCAGCTTTATTTATAACTAGTGGCCTAGTGCACAAAATTCATGCACAATAAAAGGGAATTAATTAGAGGAAATATTTTAATATTGCTATTTGCCCTTTCTTTATAATATAAGTGTCAGAGATGAAAGAAAATTAGTAAAATGTATATGAAAATAATATATAAATTTGTTAATAAATAATCACAACATAATATAACAACAACAAAGACATGATATAAAAAAAACAAAAACAGATGTAAAAACAACACTGATACAAACAATGACTGATAAATTGATTAAACTTATTCTAATATCTCTCTGTACCACATTAGGAGTGAAAACACTTTCAGAGTGCTTGATTAATTTCCCTTGTGATGTATTTACAACTTTAACATCACACGCTCTTCAAACTCGAGAGAAAGCAACATATAACTGACCATGTATGAAAACGGGTTCAGGTAGGAATATTCCTAGGGTTTGTCCTTGTGATTTATTAATAGCCATCGCAAATGCTGGCACCACGAGAAACTGTCTTCGCATTAATTTAAATGGGAGGCCAGTGTCAGATGGGGACAAATCAATTCTTGGAATCAGAACAACCTCTCCTTCTGTGGATCCTGTTAATACTTCAGCTTCGATAATGCTAGGTCGCAATTTTTTGATAATTAATCTAGTACCATTACAAAGACCCCATTTACTATTAAGATTTCTCAGTAGCATGATGATTGCACCCACTTTCAATTTTAATTTATGACACGGCATTCCTGAAGGAGTAATACTATTAAGAAATTCCATGGGAAAATTTTCCTTTTCAGCATCATCTGTTGAGTCAATGGAATCATCACTCAAATATGTGTGAAAATCTCCATCATATCCAAAATTTTTTCATTTAATTTATTAACGTGCTCATTTTTTTTACAAAGAATTGCATGTTTATATATATTTTTAATATTATCTATAGATATAGTATTTCCAAAGGTAGCTTTAATAATAGATCTGTTACAAATCATTTCACAGGGGATTTCAATATCCATTCCTAAATGAAAACTGCTATCAAGTTTGCCATCTCCAAGTTTTACTAACCATTCACTGTAAGACATATTCCCTCCTCCCTGCTGTCAGGGTTCTGGGTGCAGGTGAATGGGATTCCTGGCTGGCAGGCCACTGACAGCAAGCTGACCAGCGGCCGATTTCGTGAGGAATGGGGCTCCCTCCTCCCTCCTGTCAGGGTCCAGTTTGAAGGCCAGCCACACCCCTGATTGCGAGAGACCCAGAGTTCTGACACGCCCTGGTCAGGGCTCAGAGCTCCCTCCTGCTGCTGCCGCGCCCAGCCTGGGGCCAGGAGGGAGCTCCCTCATGCCGGCAGCCTGCTGTTTGGTCATCCATCCGGTCGTTTAGGTCATGATGGCCCCTGGCTTTTTATGTATTAGGATGGCCCAAAGCTAAAGCAACACAAATGTCTATCAACTAGTGAACTGATAAACTGATATGTCCAAAATGGAATCTAATACTTAGCATAAAAAGGAACTACTGCCTGGATGATGTGACACTGACCCATGAACCAGTGGTTGAGCATTTACCCGTGAACCAGGAGGTCACAGTTTGATTCCTGGTCAAGATTAAATTGTTGATAGGCATGTATTTGTTGCCATTTTGTTAATATTTTTATCTTTTTCTTCTTCTTCCTCTTCTTAAAGAATACCTTTCAACATTTCACATAATACTGGTTTGGTGGTGATGAACTCCTTAGCTTATTCTTGTCTGTGAAGTTCTTTATCTAACCTTTGATTCTAAATGATAGCTTTGCTGGGTAGAGTAATCTTGGTTGTAGATCCTTGCTATTCATCACTTTGAATATTTCTTGCCACTCCCTTCTGGCCTGCATAGTTTCTGTTGAGAAATCAGCTGACAGTTGTATGGG